CATACAATTCACAGTCCTGCAGTTGCAAGGCTGACATTAGGCGAACCTTAAACTCTCCTGCAGAAGATGCCTCTGTTGTGAAAATCATGTCTGAAACAGCTATAAGTTCACAGGTCTCCAATAAGGGTCACAGTTAGTAGTAAAGTTTCCATGTAAATTATATGAATGGTGGTCTTCGCACTGCATGGTACACAGCCTGAGTGATGGCTTTGGCTACATACACTGGTATTGGATCATTAAATTGGAAAGTAAGTTTGCGACAGTTGATTTTATATTGATATAATCACTATTAAGTTTATTTTTTCCCCTTTCAGGAGGAAAGAAATCAAATTTTAAAGATCCCACAAACTTTCTAAATTTTCCTAAGAGAATATAAAGTTAATGAGATGTACACTACAGAAACATATATTTCAGTCCACAGAATGTGTGGACCAAAAATTAAGGAGTCTGTCTCCAATCTCCACTCCTAACTCTCTACACAGGGGTCCTTATCACACTCTTCCATGAAACATCATGGGGACACAGGTAGCAGGGAAGCTTGGCATCTGGTACAGAGAAGTCATAGGCATTTCCTGAGCCCCAACCTGATATTCAGAACTGGTCTCTACTTTACCTTCCAGATTCCATCAGTTCCCTAAACCTGTTCACTCCTAATATAAATTCTTGCCTTTTATTTCCATTGTCTTTAAAAATGTCCGCATCATTCTTAGAAAGTATGATAATCTAGTGTACATATCCTGGGTTCACAATAAATCTCTCACTTAACTAGCCACGTGAGCTTGAGTCGGTTATTTAAATTTCTAAGTTCTAGTTTACTCAATTTTAAGATGTGCACAGTCATGGCACTTCTCACAGGTACATATTGTATTGTGAGTATTAATGATGATACAAGAAGAGAACTTAGCATGATATGTGGAATATCATACATACCAAAAATTCAATAAATTTAAGCTAAAATCAATCAGGATTCGGTTCTTCCTAATTGAAACATAGCCACTCACAAACACACAATACATGACGCGCACACACCTCACTTGGTATTGCATTAGAAATACAAACTTATACATATACTCAAAATATTTAATGGCAGGAAAATGGTTAAATAAATTATAATACATCCATAGTATGAAATGACATATAACCATTAATAATAATGAAACCTTATCCTTTCTTAATACAGACATGACCACAAGATATTGATTTTTAAAAAGCTGATTGCTAAAGAGCATATAATTGGCCAATGCTTGATCCCATGAATCTCAAACATTTAAATGTCCTTTAACAACATTAAAAACAAAATTTTCCTGTCACACTACCTTCTTATCTCCCACTCTTCCTTTACCACAAACTTCCAGAAACTTGTATCTTCTAGCACTCTTTAGGTTTGTCTGCTGCACCTAAAACTTCATTGCAACTGTTTCAGAGGACAAAACCTATGACCTCTCTTCAGTATTTATCCTACTAAAAGATTTATCCTTAGACATCTTGACATTATTAGTGCTCCTTAAATAAAGTCAAATCCTGTGGCTTCCTCTTACTTTTCTGTCTACTCCTTCCTCATTTTCCACTGGCATCTTAAGTGATGACATACACTGGGGTTGATTCCCCTCAACTCTCTTCTCTCAAGCCTCCACATCATTTCCATAGGTCTTCAACTCACTGCTTGATTTGAACTATCATCAACATATGCTAGCGATTAGCAATTCCCAGCCCTGCTTTTAGCTGTAGACTGGATCTTGTTGTAGAGATTCAGACTCAGGTTTCCAACTGCTTATCTCTTATCAACTTGGCCATTTAAGAGAATATCCCTTTTGATATCTTTCAGGTAATAGTATCAAATAGCTAGTTACCAACCTAGAGAACAGGTGGTCATTAATAACTCCTGTCATAATTTGATCTCAATTCCATACTTGCTTCTCTATTCATAGAGCATTGATCTTGGAGATCTCCATTTGGTCTCGGACTATTGTTATGATCTCCTAAATGGTCTCTATATATCAGTCTCTTACTTTTCAAAGACTTTCTATATTCTGTATTTTGATAATAACTCTAGGAACAAACATCAAATCCTTGCTTTGTCTGTCTCTTGTACAAAAGCCTTCTCCATGGGCTCATTGCTGGTGGCAGCATCTTGGCCCATCACAATACGGCTCATCTAACTTCTCCATTTTTATCTCTTATGTGCTCCCCTGAGCCTGGGAAGCAGCCATCAAACTGAACATCTTAACAGTCCCCAAACAAGATCTATCATTACTTGCCCCCATGCTTTTGTGTTTGACATTCTTTTGATTAGAATATTCTTCAATTATCTTTGCCTAATAAACTCCTATCCATCATCAGCAGTTTTGAGAAGTCTTCTGTGATGCTTTGTGGCAAACTCAGAGCCTCACTTTTTTGTAGCCCCTAGTCCTTGGCCAATGTGATGCTTCTCACTCTATGAGGCCTCCTGGTTCTTCTTTCCCCAAATGACTGCAAGCTAGTTAAAGACAGCAGCCACATGCCCACTATAGTGAACTCTGTGCTCTTACTATTTGATTTTTTTTTTAATCAAATACTTGAAAGTGAATGAAGAATAGCAGAAAAAGAAGAAACAATTTATCTCATTTTCTTTGATTCTACTAGATTCAACCATGCATGGACCTTCCTAAAGGAAAATATAAAAATTATATTATTCTTGCAGACTATTGGTGTGTTGTTGCATGTGGTACAGACATGGGTCCATGGGTTCAAGAGGTCCCATGCTAGGATGAAATAAAATTAATTAGATAGCTTAAAGGAGGCCCTTCTTGTTACTACTACTTCTCAACCTCTTCCTGCCCACAACTCCTATATTTCATTTAGAGGAATATATACAGCTCTTCTACTCCATAACCATTGGTGTTAGAATCAAGTAAGAAGTTCTAGTTTCTATGACAATTTCAAGTGCAACCATTAGGATGACTCACTTTCATGAAAGCATCCCTATCAAGCCACCTCTACATCTCCTTAAAGCCAAGGCTTTGAACATATTAGAACATATTCCAAATATATTCTTTCCTACACTCTAAAGCCACACAGAATATATCAATTTTTTTTTCACATGAGGCCTTCAAATAGAGAGAGATGTTAATGCCTCTTTTAAGACCCATCTTTTCCAAACTAAAGTTCATCGAGCCCTTTGCCGCCCCTCATGTAACATGATTTCTAGTTCACACATCAGTCCAAGTAACATCAAGCTGTCTACATTTCTCTTAAAGTGTGTTGTCTAAGTTGGATGTGACCAACTTAAAGAGCAGAAGAGCTCAGCAGCCTCATTCTAGATCTTCTGCTTTCTCAAGCCTCGTGTTGCACAGGAGTGTGGGACAGCCATTCCGTATGTTTTCCTTAAGCTTATGCTGAATTCAGCTCTTAAGTTTTGTGTTTTAAATTAGTTTTAAACTCTTGCAGTTCCTAAGTCACCCTCCTACACTGATTGCTTAAGAATATAAATAGGAGTCATTCTGAATCACTTCAGAATTTAACAATATGTATATATGGCATGGCTCACAGCAAACTTATAAAGGAGATTTTGAACAAAGTGTGTACAGGAAAGAGGGATATAAAAATTTGAAGATCTAAAAATCAGTATCCTTTCTGTATCCCTGAAACTGATCCACTAAAAAGGTAATTTCTAAATGTCATGAGCACGATAGAAAAGCATCTCCCAAAGTGTATTTTAAAAAAATCAGTTATATGGAATCTTAAAAGATATTAGTGGAGAAATGAGAAACATCAGAATAAACAAAAATAAACAAAGTAAGTCTTTTCAAGGCCTTACATTTGCAAATGTGAATCCTTATATCTCAGACCTATGAAATATCAAATTTTCTCAAAAGGTTGTTAAAAACCACAAATTCTTGGACTTTACCCTGAAGATTCCGATTTAGTAGGTTCAGGGAAGGGCCTAGGAATGTGTCCTTTGAATAAGTGTCTCGGGGGATGCTGAAGCTACTGGCAAGGAACTGCTTTGGAGAGCCCCTGAGATTTAACCGAGGAGAATCTGATGATGACAGTTTTCTAGAGTATATACTTTCAGGAATAACATGCTCAATGCAACACTACTTTTGGCTATTTAGAAAATAAAAGCATCATAGAAGTAATTTTTGTTTCAGTATGAATAAACAGGAATTTGGAGTTTACCTTCATTTTTCTTATCTTAAAAAAAAAAATCCATAACCATCTTTTCCAAATAAACTACCTAAATAACCCGAACGCGTCTGCTTCTCTAATTCCATGTTAAGAATGTATCTTACATAGTTGAAGAAAGCTTTGGCTATGATGTACTCTGGAAGCAGAAATTATGTAGAACAGTTATTCATGGATGTGTGGAACTGATGGCAAAGTCTTAAGAAAACAAATTTTGAGTAAGTGAGATGCTGAGTTTGGGATGAATCTTCTCTAGGACAAGTTCCTTCTAGTCACCCTCACATTTATCTATCTTGAAATTCATTAAAAAATTAAATTATTATTGTCTCTTTTCACTTAAAATATACTTCAAAATTTTATCCTGAGAAAGTTTGTAATTTGGGGGAGAGACAAACATTAAGATCGGAAGCACTTATGAATGCAAACTCAAGCAAAGAACGACTGAAATTTGGCAACACAAAAAATGTCACGCTACTTTCACAACATTTTGCTCTTCCAAAAACAATATACAGCTCCAAAGACACACACAAATATCCACTTACAAATGCAGCACACATACAATCATTCTGGGAACAGCCAGCTACTATACATTGAGCATGAACTGAATAGTGCAATTCATCTCAATTATTACAAATAATACTTGCCCTCCCTTTCTCATTAAAATTCTCTCAAGGGATGGCTTTCTAAAAAGAAAAAAATGAATTCATAAGAATTTTAGAATTCCAAGATAAAATAACAACAGTCATATACATAGCTGAAATAAAAAAATGAAAAGACTAAACATATGGATTTTTCTTAGTAAAATATAAGCAAGCTTCTTTCTCTTTTAAAGGTACCTGCAAAATGTGACTTCCCAAATGTGCTTCAAATACTTCAATGGCCAGTGCACTGGGGCTTCTCCTTCGTTGTGCACCTATAACTTAAAAGAAAAAAGAAAAAGGAAAAGAAAAGAAAAAGAAAGAAAAGAAAAAAAGAAAGAAAAAAATTAAGTTGGAGCTCTGATTTACACCTTCAGCTTAATTTCTCTGCAATTGCATCACTAACTAGTTACTGTATCAATGACATCTCAAAGACACACAATCCAGTGTTAATTTGGTTCTGAGTTGCCTGAGCATAGGCAGAACCTCGGTTGAATATTCAACTGAGATAACAACTTCCACGAACGTTGAAGCCACATCCAGACTTTTAAAAATTTTTTTCATTTTGGACTATTTGTCCTATATTGGAGCAAAAACATGAATGTTCACATTTTTAAAAAATAAATTAGTAAATTATTTTTCTTAAAATTTAGGTATCTTTAAAGTATACATATTCTGCCTTTTCCCTCAGAGAAAAACTAAACTTTTCATATTCTCCAGGTTAGGAAAAAGCAAACAGGACAAATCTTAAATGTTCTAATGTAACGACTCCATCACAGTTTAAGAAGCACAACACGCTAGATAAGAGGTTCTCATTAATGACTGTTTGCACTAGTGTTAAGTGTCTCAGGATGGATGGATTTTGTATTTACTGAACATTCACATAGAACTTTTTATAGGACCGCCGAGAAGCCCAGGTGGCCTCTCGCCTAGCACGTGCCTTACCAGGTCAGGGACTGTTTTCTTATCTGAATATTCCTGTTCCCCTGCTCAGCCACACAGTCGGTCCTGCTCACCATGGCATACTCTACATGTGTTGTCTGCAGGTACCTGCACTCAAGAAGCCCCTGCCATCCCTAACGAGGTAAGCTTAATGCATTATATTTGTGGGATCCAGAATCGAGGGTCCTTATACACATTTTTTTTGCATGGAGTTAAGATTTGCTTTTAATTCTGTTCTAGATATTCCACCACCGCATGCCCCACGCCCCTCTCTTTTTTAAGTTCTCAAACATAAAAATCTGTTCGATTTACATTTACTTATGAAAGAAAATATTCAGATCTTTTCCATATTTCCAACAAGTAAATTCCCCCATGTCTTCCTGCTTTTCTTGGAAATTTTATTATAAACCTCTGCTCCCTCAAACCTAGACACTATGAATTGAAAATAAAATGAAAATCCCCTACTTTCTTACCTCTAAAAACACTTTTAGCTAGTTGACAAGGAAATTCCAGTAAAATGCTGCTGGGATAATTCTATTCGTTTCGGTTACTAAGTCAGTCAGTTGGATCCATAGCTTAGTAGAGATTATAATATAAATATACTTGTGATTATTGTGCTGTGCAAAAGTAGGCAGTTTACCCCTGTAATTGTGAGTTAGTGTCTGCAGTGTCTGAAAGGCACTTTGAAAATAGCATGAGTGTTAAGTATCATTATTACGGGCAAAAAGAAATAAAAGGGGCATTTTGTTTCAATGGCAAAATTTATAAAATATAATTGAAGAGCGATTAGTATCAAAGAATATTCCAGCTGGAAGGGATCTTAGAGATGTCTGTTGCAACTTCCTCATTTACTTCAGAAGCAAAACACGATAATCTTAAAACAGAAAAATCACTTTTCTATCTTAAGATTAATCTTTATTATAAGTATAGACGCAATATTTTTAAATTCAGATACACTTAATATTTAATATTCAGATATTCTTAATCTTGTACTACTCTGTGTGTGTGTGTGTGTGTGTGCGTGCGTGTGTGTGTGTGTGTGTGTGTTTCTGATTAATTTCCTATTCTAACATGCACATTACTCCCTTCAAAACTCCTTTGGCATTTTTGATAATGCAGCTGTCTTGCTGAATACTGTTTTCAGTTTCTAGAGTGTTAATTGCACATTATGGTAGCTTGGTGTGAATGATCCCACATGAATAAAATCTGCAGTACTTTTTAATTTTTTTTAAAGATTGTTGGTGGGGGAGGTTGATAGAGGGAAGGGAGAGTTGAAAAACTTCAAAAGTGTCCACTCTTTTTTGAGGCAGTAATTAGGATCCAGAAAGCTTTTTATTAATAGTTCATAATTTGGGAGCATTTCAGGGCTTCCAATTACAAAGTTCAAAATAAACCATTGCAACTCACAAAAGAAAATGGACTGATTTTAGAGAACACAGACTTTTCTACAAAGAACTAGATTAAGAGGGGGCCAGGACAGCAACAGTCACCAACCTACAGGAGACTCTAAAACATCACGGGCAATGTAAAGAGTATGTTTATATAAAAGAAAGCCCAAGGGGCATGCTCCAGTAAGGACAGATGGCAGCATCACTGACATCTAGAAGCACAGTTGAATTCAGTGGTGTGCTGCAGGGGTTATCCAAGTTCGGCCACTAGGCCTTTCTTTCTCTTCTTTTTCTCCACTTAGGACTCAGGCTGTCTTCTAAGTAAATGCTGCAAATGTGTAAATATTTAGGGATTTTATTTAAGAAAAGTTATTAGTCAGTCTGGAGATCTCAAATGTCTTCATCAGATCTTACATCCATGAGTCCTACCTGCATAGTTATTCTTCTTTGTTCTCAAATCCTCTACTGGGTGTGCATCCCAGTACATGCTAGCATAATACACAGGTATCTCATAAGTGGTGCCATGCTATTCTATTCAGTGGCATTTTTATTACACTGGAATTTCTCTTGATTTATATGTTTTGCACTTATGGAGGTGATGTGGGGCTGTAATGACAGTTCCTAATTTTACAACCAACATAAATATGTTAAACAGGAGCCCATTAAGTCTCTGGTAGAAGACCAGCTCTGTCTGACTCTAGCATTATTGGTAACTGAATAGATGTTAAAAATGTACTTCTTATCTTGTACTTTTTATCCTATCACATTTGGCATTTTAAGGTTGAGACGACAATCTGATAACTCAGGAACAGTGCAAATATAGTTATTTTATTTCTTCAAATTAATCTCATTGTATTTATAGAGTATCATTTACGAATAAACAAAAAGTAAAGAAGCATTCCTCAATATGCCCATCATTCTCAGGAAAGTACTACATTGCTATGAAGCTCTCTCAGGTCTTTGGATTTGGGAAGATGACAGTTTCCAAAGCCACTTGGTAGGTCAGACAAAATAGATGTTCATTACTGCCGAACAGGTCACTGTTTTCATTTGATCTAATGATACATTCCATTTATTTGTTCAACTAAAAGATATCACTTTTTGAAATTTAAAGAACACAATTAAATTAACCAAAAAAAAACCATACAAAAATGCTAAATAAATGGAACACTTATCTGCGAAGATGATGTCCCTAACTCACCGACAGTGAGATGTCAGTTTCATAAATTTAACAGCATATACAAACTGTTAAAAGAAGAACAAATCAAACCATAATAACATAGTAATTCAACTTCAAACTCCATTCAGCATTTACTGAATAACTATTTGATGTTTAAAATTGCTAGTTACTGTAAGGTAACTAGTGCTATAAAACCTAATAAGTAGTCCAAAAGAAAATTTTAAGCAATTTAAAACAAACCTAGGCCCAGTGTATAAATACTAACAAATATCTCAACCCTACTATCTCATGTTTTGCAAGGGTTAAAAATAAAACGCCTAGAGTTTTAAGAGATATTAAGTAGAAGAGATATAAGGAGGATTTTTTTTTTTTAAATCAACTAAAGAAACTCTGTCTCAGAAATCTAAAATAATATGATGAATCATTAGGACTGCACATTTGGCCTTTCATTAAAAAAAAATGGAAACCACGGAAGGAAGCATGTTTCTGAAAAATGAGTTTTGTCCCTCAACAAGTTTGGCAAAAATGTCCTAATCTAGACTCTTCTGCATAGCGAAGAAGGTATCTAGACTCTTCTGCATAACCTCATGAGGCAGTCTTTGAGAGGTAATTCAGAATAGTAAAAGACAACCTCTCTCTGGGGAAATAAACCCCACACCCCCAGTCATATTCCTGACCAGCGCTCATCACCTTCAGGGACGTACAAAGGCTGCGAAGGCTGAGGACTAGCGCTCAGTGGGAGTTTGACCTATTCAGCCAAAAGGTCAGCTTGCCACAGAAGAACCCATTACAAAACAGAAACAGGACAGCTCAGTGGACACATAATGAAAGAGGAAAAGTCAGGAGCCCTACTTGCCTTGGGTCCTGCATTGCCCTTTTCCTTCACAACCCTCCCCACTCCCATTTCCAGAAAAGGTGGAGCTGCCCCAGCTCCTCATCAGACAGTTCGAGATGGGAAGGTAATCCACAGGCAGGGAGAGAGAATAAGGCTTGTTATTTAAGGGATCACTTGAAAAAGATATTTAAAATTGAATACGAGTGTGACATTGTGAGGCAGGCTTTCCAATGGATTGTTTTATTAGGAAAAAGTAGTCATTGGCAGATAGGGAAGACCATTTTAGAGATATTTCCTCATCCAGCCCTCCTCCATGGGGAGCAATATGGCAACATAGGTAAATGTAGCCTGAAAGTTCTGCCGGTAGTATTTCAAGAACTGAATTATCCACCTAGTAAGAATGAAAGCTTCGTGCCAGGATGGCTACCCTCTGAATCTGTCATCCAGAGGGCAAGGCTCTGTTCCCACAGTGAGCTGTGGGGGAAGGAGGACTAAACAGCATGCTTAATGGAATCCGGGACATCACTCCCTGGGCTATATAGCACTTGGGCTAAGCAAAGTCAGGGGCTGGGAAAGAATGGAGTATAGAATGCTTAATGAGTCTTTCCATGGCTACCAAAGAAAAGAAAGGGATTTCCCTTGAAGAATCTCAATTAGCCTCCCTCACTATAGGGCAAAGGAAGCCAGGCAGGGTTTTCCCAGGAGCCTCAGAAGTTTACAAGGGTATGTGTGTGTGTGTGTGTGAGAGTGTTTGTGTGCGCGCGCGCACGTGTGTGTTTATGTGTGTGTGCACGCCCCTATAAAAATGCAATTTCTGTTTTCATTTACTATGGGACCAAGGCTTCCTTCTGAAACTGGTCCTCACAACTCTGCTTACTGCCCACAGTCCCGATTTGCATAATTTCTACGCTAAACTCATTGTTTGTGCATGCCTTA